AAGCTGTTTCGGCGAGACAACTATTTGATTACAATAATTTGAACGTTTAACTATTCTCCAAAAGTTTAGAATGGATTTCACTCTGGAGAATGAAATCTCAATCTCAAAGATTGAAAATTGAACCAGTGTTGAAAAAGAATTTACTCTTTAAAGTGAGATCCCATTTCAAAGAATTTAGAGAGTGGATATTGTTCATTGCACATTTTCTTGTGTTTCTTCAAACTCGATTTTGCTAAAGAACTTTGAAGTAATTGAAAACTTCACCCTAGGAATCACTCGATTCGCTGTCGAAAATTGTCGCAAATTATTGCGAAATATATTTGTGTGCGAAGTATTCTTGAAATTGTTTAGAAAAGATACAAAGACCGACGGAGTATGATAAAATCTATGACAGCCCAATCCAAAATGTGGTAGCGATTTATTCGATGAGATGTCACGACCGGTTGCACATCAGTTTTTATGCAAAAATATCTATATACGTAAGTGATCACGCGCATCAGCTCTTACTTTTCAGCCCTTTTTAGCAAAATGACTCGTCAATTTATATTCCCGTCCCAGCAAAAGTGTACGATTCCTGGTCGTGGACAGTCATGGATTCGTCTACCCATTCGATGCGTGAGAGGTTTCGACTGTCAAACTTTCTCCCGCCAAACTTTTAGCCATTTTAAAACACGAAGGGTGTGTTTTCGGCGGCGTGGCGGGATGGGCACGTCCGTAATCGTAAAGTTGACGTGATTAATAATAATTACTCCCCGGGGGTAGATCGGGTAGACGGCGCGGCGTGACGGGTAGATGGGTCTACATGGTAGATGCGAGTCGGCGCGCGCGCGTCAGACGATCGTTGCGAAGGACGGGACAGCTGACGGGTGACAGTGACAGTGACGGTGAATAAAAGCGAGAGACGAGGGTAGAACGCGGCAAGAGAGAGCGGGTGGGGGTGGGTAATCGAATTATTCGAGTACTCGAAAATGGAGAGCCGCTCGGCAAGGTTAATCGCGGCGTCCGTCGTGGTACTCTCATAAAACGTTAACGAAAATAAACCTTCATGTCCCGGATCGCATCACGCAAATCTCGTCGAATTTTCATGCAAAATTGAGGAAAGTCACAACTGCGCGTAGACCTTCCCGTTTCTCTCCGCACGTCGCATATATAATCAGAGATGCTGGCGACATTCCGAAGGATTTTATTGCTGCAATCTAGTAAATATTGTTTTGTTCCATTATATTTTTTGCATCTGCATATTTCAGTTCATAGAATTATCTAATGTATTTAATATATTTCATCAACTACAAATGAATATAATGCTGCAGCAATATATATATATGAAGCTATCCATTTGTTTCTTGAGCAATGATTGATAACGAATAGATGACACTCAAATTTGTAATTATGTTATAATAACAGTGAATGAAATATATATATAAAAACTAATCAGAGCCAACATCTATTCGGGTGCACAGAAATCTCTTTATTCTCGTGTAAATGTAATAACGAAATAAATATACGTTCCAATTTCGTTCAAAATACGTAACATGTAATTTAAATTATATTTTATATTGAAAAAGGTCTAAAACGAAGGGTACAAAACGTACATTTATTTCGTTATTGTTACATTCACACGAGAATAAAGAGATTTCTGTGGACCCGAACAGCTGGCGTTGGTTCTGATTGGCTTTTATATATATATATATATTATTGATAGATTCTTTCGAGTGTCTCATTTCATATATTTATAACAGTGAATTAATTTCAATTAAGCTACGATAATTGAATAACTCATTTTTATTCCGTGACGATCAAAATTATCAATTAATAAATTATATAAATAGTACTGATTGCATGTAATCAAAAGTATTATTCAATTATTGTAGCTTGATGCTGAAATTAATTCAGCTCCTGTTATTCTAATATGATTATAAATTTAATTTGAAAGAATTGATGTTATTCGAAACAGTTCAATCCATTTTCTCGGTACAATTATGAAAATAATTCTTCAAGTTATTCAAAACCTTCGTATCTGTCAGTCCAGTCAGGCACTACACGTTTGGAAAATGTCCGAGATTCATAAGCTTCACGGAAAACTTCTTACGCGACGAGCAGCGCGGCCACGAGGAACCAGTCGAATACCAGGACGGGCGCAGCCGGCTTAGAAGATACGCACAAAATCGCAGCATCGATATCGATACGCGGCGAGAGTCGCTGATTGATCGGGGAATCGGGTGAAAAACGTTGCTCGCGTATAACGGTATGATTTGAGGTGGCTTTACCCTTCGTGGAAGCGGTCGGTCTTGCCAAGCGATGGCCTGAATAGAGTCTCCTGGCCCCTGCCGTGTATATAAATCTGCCTTCTGCTGCTCTTCTTTCTTTCCTCTTCTTTTTTTATCTTTTGCGCGTTATCCGTGTCCCCGTCGATCTGATCGATCGATCGATCTCTCCGCAGACGCAGGGAATCCGGGGTCGAGTTTAACGTCGGTCATCAGGGTAAATATCGGACGCACGTGCGTGAGCGCCGATCGGCAAGAAATCTGAACACGACTCCGCCGCGAGTTCTCTTCCTGATTTATTGCTGATCCCCCTCTCCCTCTGATCGCGAGAACAGCCACGAGCAAAACTATGCGCGGGCGTTTGTGAAGTGTTTTTGCGAGCATAGCAACTCGCCATCCAGCGAGGAGGATTTTCTAAGTCGGTGGATCTTCTTATTTTGAAAACCGGCCACGTCGCTCGTCTTTAAGGTTTTGCCGGTTGTTCTGCGCGATCTCGATGCAGAGATCGCGGTATCAGCTTGTCTCGATCTCGTAGAAGCAGTATAGTAATGAGCGAAACGAGTAAAACGATATATATATATCGATAATTAATATACCAAGAAGCAGAGGTTTCGCAATTCCGTTCGCGAAGTGAGATAGATTAGTTTACCCAGCTTTCCTTCCTCTTGATTGCTTTTTGTATGAAATTAAACGAGTCTAAGCTCCAAGAAGATTAAAGTTTTTATGGATTAATCGCGCAGAAAATATATAAATATTTAAAATAGCTACCTTTATAATAAGATCGTAAGAAATTAATTATTGTGACAATTTTACTTTATTCGTGTCCTTCGTTTGTTTATCTACGAACATATTTCTCCGCAATCGGAGAAAGCGACCCGAAGACCCGAAAAAGTCTCCTCCTTGACTTCCTCATGTCAACGGTTATGCGCTGATTCAATGACGAGTCGGTTGCTGCGAATCGAGATTGCTGCGATTCTATACCGGAGACGTGTCCGCGATATCGTCGTCGTTGGAGCAAAAAGAAGAACAGAGTGTGGATAATCGTTCACCGATCTATCTCGAGCTTTACGTCGATAACGTAACGTCGGAAATTTCACATCATTAATAAAATTATAATTTTCAAGGAAACGCGCTTTACAACGCGTATTAAATTGCCGCCGATAAGTCAGAATAAGCCAGAAAAAGAGACACGAAACGCCCGTTTCTCGTTCGATCGGTCGGGAAAGTATCTCGGCCGGTGGAGGAAGTATCGCAGAAGCTGCTCTCTGATAAACTTATTTGAAGGAACCGCCCGTATGTATGCGGCCCGCGATCGTATGTAGGTACGTGTGCCCGTACGAGATTATTGCGCGTAATTCATGGGCTCTTTCATTCATAAAAAGGCTAAATCGCGCAAAGGCTGACGACGACGTTACGTCGTTCCGTTATACGGCCGATCGTAGAAAGTCGTGAACTGATTAGGTTTGTATCCGCAATTTGAAACAGTGTTTCTCTAATAAGGCTCGCGCCTTATCATCAGTGCTTATGCCCTGTTATCGGTCAATTAGAAATAATTATTTGCCACAACACGGACACATATCAGCTAGACAAGTGTACTTGAATTACACATAATGTAGCATCCTCGATAATGAAATGCTCGATCGATCGATGTAATTGCTAATAACTACGTTACGTCGTACGATTAATGAAAAGATAACGCTACGTTTTCAAATAGTTCAACTTTATGTCCACTTTGCTTTAAATAGCTCGATACGTAAATGATTATCGTGTTCATTTTCTATTCCGATAACCTCGCACCAACTTAATGAAGCTGTTATCATATACTGCTTCAGCATCTTGATCAATGATACCTAATACTTTTACGAACGCAAACTATTTTTTTGCTTCTTTATCTATCAGGAGCTCAAAAAAGCCGCATAGTTTTGTAACATAGTGCAAATCTTTTGTTTCTCTATTTTCAAGCATTTCATTCTCAAGTTAGTGACGTTATTTAGTAACGTAAAAGTATCTTGCAACATGTCAGATTTTAATAATGCGTAAAAGAACAGACAAATATCTCATTTTTATCTTTACGGAGAATCGCAATACATGACCACAAAGCTGTATCTATATCAAAAAGTTTTTTTAAACTTATATCACCTATGAAGCTTACCACAAACATATGTTTGCGTTGTAAACACAAATATTTGCTTAATTTTATGTTTTTATTTTTTATTCATTCACATATCCAATATTTATATGTAGATAGCACCAAGTGGCCATGGAGCCATTAAACAGCGCAGCGATACTTTATCGAGCTATGCAACATCGTGCATGCAGTATCGACCAGCGAGAATTTTTTCATTCCTGAATAATAAATGACGCAAACAACAAGCAAACCGTGTGTGTTGTCGGATCCTGATTTAAAAAAAAAAATACGAAAAATTCGTCCACACATGGGGACTATCAAGAAAGAAACGTTTAGTCGGCACATTTAGCAGACGAGACTATTCATGAGATTGTATCTCTTATTTGGAATTTTCCGATATAATTACGCAGCACTAAATAATCATACTTACTGTTTTAAAATAACTCATTAAAAATAAATAGCGAATTATTGTACAATCATACACTTACATTACACAATAAGTATTCTATAGAGGAAATTATAAAGAAGGTTTCCCTATGGAATTTGTCTTGTAACAATTTGCTAGAATTATACTCACAACTGATGTATTGTTAACTTGATGTTTTCAGACCAAAGGCTAAGGCACTCGAAGAGCAACTTTGAGGTGTTGTACTTCAAGTTTTCCGATAAGGTTGTCCAACATCGTGTTACCAGGGCAGAGTTGTCTCTATGGATATGGGGTGTGAATCAGGAAACGGAGCTCGGTGAGCCAATTGATCTGGAGAGTCAAGACGCCAGTCCGGTGACGATCACGTTGCAGAGGATTCTTCGGGGAACGACCGAGACAGGTGGAACTTTGTTGGGTCCTCCTCTGACCACGAAACACCCTCGACCGTTTGGACGGCGGGATGGCTGGATCACGATCGAGCTCAGACGAATGGTGGCGGAGTGGTTCAAGCATCCGAGAGATAATCTGGGAGTCGCCTTGAAGATCACGGGGCCTGGCGGCAGTCATCGTAGGAACTTGGTTAGACTGGTTGAGACCAATCCCGGTGCGGAGTACGCTCCATATCTCGAAGTGCAAATGCAGGAACTCGATTCACGAAGAGGCTCCAGAATTAAGAGGAACGTGGGACTCAATTGCGATGAGGCCAGTCAGGAGACTAGATGTTGCCGGTACAAACTTACGGTAGACTTCGAGAAGTTTGGCTGGGATTGGATAATCGCACCCAAAAAGTGAGTACATGATTCTTCTATTTCTTTTTTTTTCTTTATTAATCAAGATTTTTTTATCACGAAAAGTGTTGAAATAGTTATATCTTTTGAAATTTTATTTATTTTATTATGAAGAATCTCTGAAAAAATCAAGTAGTGATTTAGCAATAAATATACGATGAAAAAATTTCTATCGAAAATGACAGTAGAATTTTTCTTTCGTAAAACTCATACTAGGGCGATATATATATATATATTTCACATTTGTTTAATAAAATACTTGAAATGTGTGTACTTTTGTGAGAACATATTGCAACTCATAAAATGATTAATGCATCGTCGGTCAAGCACGTACTCGTAAAGATTTCTATAGCGAAGGAAAACATTTTGAGCCAAACTGGGTTTAAATGAAGGAACTGCGACTTTCTTGCTGGCACGTAGAACAGTTCTACATCAACAGCGTTAAATGTTATTCGCGCACGTTCGGTCTATAAATACTTTTTGTTATGCAATGTATTGGTGTATATTTCGTGGTGTATATTTCGAGTTAATTTGCCACGGCGATATTTAACGATGATGCTACAACGAATGTGAAGTTGAGATAAATTTTGTTTTACAAATTAATATTATTTGATGAATCGAACTTGTGCATTAACAGTCGGTTCCTGGATCTTTGTGTCACAGATATGATGCCAATTACTGTTCGGGTGACTGTCCAATGGCTTTTCTTCCGGCTTATCCGAACACGCACATCGTCAGCTTGGCGGAACCGCCGAACAACACCGGACCATGTTGCGCACCTAGGAAGCTGTCCGAAATCACAATGTTATATTTTGACAATGAATATCAGATCGTGTTCTCGCGGTTGCCGGGCATGATCGTCGAGAAATGCGGGTGTTCATAGTCCACCTTCGTTTCTGACAGGATGAAAGCAACGTTGGCGATGCCGGGAGTTCCGCACAGGTACCGCGATGCTCTCCCTTTGATCAATCTCGACGATCATCGTCATTGTCCTCGTCAATCGTCGTCGATTGTCATCGCCGTGTTCTCGGCGATTCCTCATCCGATAGACTGAAAGTGCCTTGTTCGGAGAGTGATTGCGTGATGCGGATCTCTTTGGAGCGCAGAAAGAGGAACACGAAGTGCGCGGAGTAGGCGGTGTTTCGTGATTCGGGGAGTCCCCTCAAAGACTGTGCTGGATGCCAAGGGAAGTCCAAAGAGGGACTCGCGCCGACTGTCAGCGGGAGGCACCTCGACGGTGGTCCATGGTTCATGGCAAGGCGGATAGTTCCTAGAGAGAGAGAGAGAGAGTGAGAGAGAGAGAGAGAGAGAGAGAGAGAGTCACGGTATTATTTTTAAGACGATACGTTTGCACTTGATCCACAATCCTAATTACGCCGGAATCCTTTAATCGAAACTCCCTAAATGTGAATTTCTTTCTTTCCTCTAAACTAAGAGAGATAGTAGAATGGAATATTTAAAACGTTTGTACTTATTGCGCAAGCGTTATTTTCAGAACTCCAACATGGTTTTATCAACAAACAATGCAAAACTTTGTTGAAACTTTCATTATTACGCCGCGGCTCGCGAGACCAGATTACTAAGGGATGCAATGTGGGCGGTTTGCGTGCCTGATTGTATTCACGAAATGTAATTCTTGTCTCTCCTATTTCTTTACTTTTTTGAACCAAACGCGTTATTAAAACAGAGGACGTCGACGATCGGTGGAAACGTGTTGGACAACAGATCTCGGTGTACAGTAAAATCGTTGTTTTTTTTTCTAATGGTTTTTTTCTCTCTCCCCCCTCGTCTTTCTACAATATATTATATATAGAAACGTTTCTGTCACTATGATCGTTTTTTTTTTTTTTTAGCGAATTGTGAGAGTGCGTGTGCGAGAGAGCGTATTGAATTATGTAAATAAGTCGTAGCAGGCAAAAATGTGGTGTTGCTTCGATGACACTCCTATGTCCTGGGAGGATCAACGAGGATATTACTCATATATTGACGGAGAACCTCAACCTTCCTAGTTTTTCTAACGCGAGTAGTTGTAATTACACGGCGCCAATATCCGGCTAATTGCACTCGGAACTTTTTATAACGCGGCAATTGGCAATTTTATATCCACGTTCCCGTCATTCATCATGGTCGCAGAACGAGTGTCGAGCGTTTATTTCTAGATAAATAATAAACATTAATCGCGCGAACGAATGCGCGACGCGCGCCTAATTTTCGTAGCTTTCTTCGTAACTTACGGTATTAATAGCTGCATTTTTAGCGCGTCGGATGATGCACTACGTCAAGAAGGGACGACGACTTTTTTTGGAATGTGTCCCTTCCTATTCCACGCGTTGTACAATCTAAAAAAAAAAAGAAAAAAAAATAGATTGTCAAGCGTTTTTAGACAAAATTATTCTAGAGGTATATATCTCGACAAGCGCTCTTATTAGTTTTTATAGATTCATTAGGATCCGTCCCTGATCCTCTGATGAGGGCATAAACCCTACTAATTACTACGGTGATAGAGAGGATCAGTGCCGCAATTATGTATAGACATATCCCCGACGCTTGAAACAATTCCAGTTATGTGTATAGCGATTGAAACCGATATAATTTCGATAAATTCAGATCTTCGCAATTAATCGATGAAAAACAAACGTTTAATAAGTAAAGCACCATTTTTCTCTAAACCTATGTAATATCAAGAATTGAACTCGTCGAGATTCTATTGGTTTCAATCCCTCGTTGTATAGCAATCTTCAAAATCCGGGAACATACCTGAAACTTCTCATGCTATCAAAGCTAACACTTAACTCCACGTTTTTTCCCCTCAGCTTCGAGTCAAGTGCACTGTAGCTACATTTTGTAAAATAGTATACGATATATACGATGGACTTGCGCGCACCGTCCCTAAACTTCATATGATTGTAAAGGAAAAAAGTTACACGTGTACCCATACAACATAAAACATAAATACATGCACACACACACGCACGCACGCACGCACGCACGCACGCACACACACACACACACACACACACACACACACACACACACATACACATACACACGAATTTATAAAAAAACTGCGATTTTTATAAAGCGATCATTTAGAACATAAGAGAAAGCTCCTTGAAAAATCGATTTTTTTATAATTCCTCCCCTCTTCTGTCAAGCTGTCCTTGTCTTTCCATTCTCCTCCGATCATTCTTTTTCTTCCTCATATCTATTACACTTTCCATTCTCAGTTTGTTTGTCTCAGTGTATCAATAATTAAAAAGATAATGGATTTGCTTAAACCCCGCTCCCAAAATAGCGAACGAGGACGGCAGAAAAATGCATACTTATATGTATAATGTGTACTTCCTAGGTAGACACACAGCATAGATAGAAAAATATTTATTCCATGAAATAAATGGTTTTTCGATGAGCACGGAATAACATTTTATTTTTCCTTTTTACCATCATTGAATAATTGATTCAACAATTAATTATATATACTTTGTTGAAATATAGAATAAGAAATATAGAATAAGAAATATAGAATAAGAAGTTAAAAAGTCAATTTTCTATTAACAGGAAAATTATTAACAGCCATTTAATGCCGGATATAATAAAAAATTTATTAAATCAGACTACTTTGCGGTAATTTGTAATGTTTTCATTTTGTGTGATTATTTTAATTGCTTTAATCGTGTTTTTGTTTGATTTTTTTTATTCCACAAATATATGATACGCACATAAAAAGGAAAGTATTAAATTGGAAAAGTTTGTAGCGTAACAAATTTCAAAATTCAAGCAGCTGTAATTAAAAATAAACGAAATTTAAATTAAAAAAAGAATTTTGAAACTTAAAATCTTTACTTTCGAAATGTCACTTCTGAGTTTTTGTAAGCTTGATAAATTTTATATTTAAACTACGAGCTGGATTAAATGGAAAATTTTCTTCTCATTTTGTGGATCTGCTAAAAAACGCGAAAATTTGAGATTTTTTTATATAAAGCTTAATATTTTTCGCACAAACTTATTTTTTAAATATTTCTAAATACTTTTAAATAATAAAATTTTTGTTTGTTGCTGGAATACATTTTGACTTTAATTATTCATAACTCTGTTAAAGCTATTATTATAATTGTCAAAATTGTCTTATTGTTTATAATTTTTTTAAAACATGTAAGTATAAATGAAATAACATTACAAACTTTTTTGTTCCGACCCAATATATGCTTACTACTTTTACACGTCGTGCAAATTAAATTTATTTTTAAATTCTGTTTCATGATAAATTTGGTAATATCGTGTACTCTCTTGCAGCAATCAATCTGTACTTTATTAAATCGTGTTTCACGACATGTCTCTCTTTTTAATCAATGCAAGAGAGAAACTTACATATGATGACGATAAACTTTCGGGGCAGAAAATGATTGTTGTTTTGCGATTTCTTTTCGTCCAATTAAAAACCGGTCATGTTTTCGCTGATTTCTGGTACTTCCAGAATAAAGAAAAACATTTTTCGCAATACACGCAAATTAATCATCATATTATATTATTTTTCCAAATCATCGGTGCAAAGTTCCCACATCAAATAACTTTGTCGAAATAAATTATGGGAGAAATGAAGAAACCATATTATATAAGTTTGTTATAACGTAAAAAAAAGACATGTTTTTATAAATGTCACTTGAAAAATAGTAAGTATAATTATTATTAATATATAAAATGCCTTTTTTTATACTCTCTTTATAAATATACTTGTATTCTCTCTCTCTCTCTCTCTCTCTCTCTCTTTCTGTTTAATATAGTCGTCAAATAAAAATGAGAAAAATGCGAAGAAAAGTAAACATCTTTAAAATCTACATTTAAAGTGAATATAATAAACGTTATTAGATAATTAAAAGGAATGTAATAAATAAAAGGATAATAATTAAACGAGTTGCGTGAATATGTAGAATTCAAAATATGTTCAAAGTGCATGCAGACATAGCATGTCATTGCATTGATAATCTCGAAAATTTTGACTAACAATAAGTGTTTCACACCGTCTGTGTTATGAGCCATAAATATAATTATCGTTTACTTATCGTTAATGATTAAATAATCGACAAATACATTACTAAGAGTAACATTGAAAAATTTGTCATAAATATGTATTCTTATCGTACCAGATTAAAGTGTATACATAGTCTGGTGTTTATACGTAGATCTGTGCAACATTGATATTACAATGCAAGTTGTAAGTCACGCACTTTTAATTATCTATAACGTGCAACGACATGATAAAATGAATTTGACGGCAGGTGAGCTTTTTATTTGTTAAATTTCAATGAAATATGTTTGCTTATTTTATGTGCCACTTTTCTATAAAATATTGCATGTGCAATATTGTTCTATTCGCGTGCCGTATAATAATAAAATAATGTGCATATTAAAAACATGTTTACCAAAATTATATATTTTGTTTTATTTATAGTGTATTGTTTTATTTACAGATTGTTTTTTATGCAAACTCGCTTTCGTGTAGGCCATTATAACTGTGTCATGGCTTTTATGTCAGTTGCGATAACAGAAACAATTGTAATGTGGAATTGAAAGAAGAGTATATCTTATTTGTCACCAACCGGGTCGAAAGAGTGCCAAGGAAAAATTTATTTAAGCGAATGGCTCCACTACTCAGTTGGAGAAATGCGTTTTGTCGAGAATACAATCAAGTAATAAATTCACCATAAAGCTCCTTACGATGCTTCCATAATGAATGAGTGTGTAACTTATTTATCAAAGTTGTTACATGATTAACTCTCTTTTAAAAAAATCACAATTACACATTCCAACATTTATTACAAAAAAAAGAACAAATTAAGCGCAAACACTTGCACTTAATTTATGTTACATTTATATTACATAATCAAATGTAATTAAAAAATTGTTAGATAAATATTTGAAATGTATTTTTAAAATCAAGCATCAATAAATCTATACAAATTAATTTAACGATGTAATCTGTTATAATAAAATTTTCACAAATTTTTTAACTTAAAGACGTCATGTTAAAAAAAAATTTACTCGTACATATTTATTATTACTTTAAGGGGGGCATAGTATGTCAGTGACATGGTCCGAGTCGCATTGTTCGGATACGTACGATGATAATTCGCGCATATAATGCGATAGTGAGATGCACGTCCTGGCAAGTCGGCCAGTTGAATTGACGGCAGTCAACTGTTTCGCCAGACGTGCCAATTCTCGTTTTATTGTTTTTCTTCGGCGGCGCCTCGAGCACTCGTCCTTGCCGATGGT